GGGTTAAAACATCTTAATACAGTACCAAGAAGGTAGCAAAGGAATTACTGTTTGATCTAACAGATATATCAATACAGTGTACATACTTATTAGATTTTTGGGACATTTCAAATATATTTTGCCAGAAACAAGTTCATCTAACACCTTTGAACTAATATTATCTTTGAACTAATATTATCTTTGTCTCTGGATTTTTTATTTATCATTTTCAGTTGATTCCAGTGGAAACACCAACCCTATATAGCTTTACAAAAATGGTTCAAGTTATAAATGATAAATTCCATCACATAGTTTGATAAAAATCTTTGTTTCGAGTATTTATTTCTTTTAGACAGATTTTTTTCCATCATAAATTATTGATTTTAAACACACAAAACTATACATAAAATGAACAACTGACATAAAACAAACATTGTATAGACAGTTATCCTTTGCAATCTCTTATAGTTTCCACTGCATGTTTGTCTTTTCCTTCCCTTTTTATGAGAGACATTATTCCCATATCCCAGGAAATGACAAAACTAAACAAGCAAGGAATATTTTTTATACAGAACCAGGCACATTATGAGCATGCTGGTAAAGTACTGTGATTGGTATAACAGCAATCACATAAGCAATTCCAGCTTCTGATACATGGTACATACTTACATAGTCAGGTACAGCATCGGTGCTCCATCTCTGCCTTGAGAGTGTTATGCACTTTTGGGAGAACAAGCTACACGCAGCTGTTAACACCTCACAACTTTCTAGTGCTCAAGAAATAAGACTATCTGGGATGAGAGGAAAGAGGAACAAGGAATAACATTACACAAAACAAACAAAAATGTATTTTTAACCTGACTTTACAAGCTATTGTTATTTAGCAATGAGAACTTTAAAGAAAAATAACCAAAACTTCTGAATTAAGGGCCTATGCAGATTGGTCAAATAAGAAACTTTATGGGAAAAGAAACAAATCTTATTTGTTTTACTCAGCTTTAAATGATCTTCCAAGATACAAGAATGGTGCAGGCAACAGTATGAATACAAAACTGTAATGAGAGAAGAGGCAAGATTCATTAATGGAAAATTCCACATCAAATCTACTAGGAAATGATGGAGAGAACACATGCAAAATGTTCAGCAGTGAAGCCCAAGTGGATGCTCAAAGTGAGTTTAAAAGGAAGATTTTTCTCAGCCTTAAAAGAGCAGTTTCAGACACATGTTGGGGGAAGAGGGGCAAGAAAACTAGTCACAAAAATGGATTGTAGCATGCTGGAGAAAAACAGCACAATTTGCTGTGCCACATTTACAGACTCATTCAAATGCTCCCACGAGACCATGCTTCTGTGTCCAAATAAAACATACATGCACACTAGCGTGCAATGCAATATCAAGCCTGATTATAAAAATCTGAACATGGGAGTGATCCTGCTCTAATTAAGATCAGTAGGAGTTTTGCCTTAGACTTGAGTGGGAACAGACCTTTTTTTTTTCCCCAAAAGTGGGTCTGCTGATTCAGTTTGTTTTCTGAAACACTGACCCTTTGACATAAACAAACTGCATGCATCAAGGGCCCAATTCTGCTTTCACTGAAATCAATGGAAGCTTTGTCATTGACTTCAATGGGATCAAGAGCTAAATCCTGCAGTCGACAGGTGTGTTTTGATGGAGTAAGGATGAATAAAGACTGCAGAAATAGGCCTAAATTACATTGGTGTATCTGGATTGTACAAGCCCATTTAAAGAAAAATGCAGAAAAGAAGCAGAGAAGATAAAAATGTGAATGTTGAGTGGCTCCCATTCAGTTGTTTGTTTCAGTTAGAGTTGGACTGAGTCCTTTGGAGCTTTGCCCGCATAAAGATCTCAGGATTAAAACACAATCATGTCATACATCTTTATTATACCGATCCATATAAAGGTTAGTGGGGAGGAAAAAAGCAAAAAAGATGGGACAATGAACTCTGTCTGGTGACTTCTTTTCAGCAGCTGCCTCTAAAACAGACCTTCAGTTACTAACTCCTTATTAAAGATATAAAATGGTTGACTGTACAAATTGTCATACCTAAGTATTAACTGATTCTACTCTTTTGCTGTCTTCTCCCTACCTACCTCACCCATTTCCCCAGACCGGGATTATTATGTATTTCTTTAGCAGCACTAGCAAATCAGAATTTATTGTACATATGTTTGTGTTCCACTTAATAAAAAATATACCTATATTTTCAGATAAACTTTGTTAGTAATTCATGAAGTAAATGACTATTTATGCTAATAAGGGAGAAATATATTCTCAAGCATAATGCATTACATAAATTTGAATGCAAAATGTTCAATTATGAAGTAAATACAGGTAATGCAAATAGTAAATTACATCCAATAAAATATATATAAAGAATGTGTCTTCAAAGAGAAGCTTTTGCTTGCATCTGTGAGTTGTTTAAAGAGAAAAGAATTAATAAGTACTGAATTACTATGTTGATTATTTAGCTCATAATTCACCTATCTGTAATGACTCCTGGTAATCAGACTGTTTCATATCCTCAAATATAAGGCAGGACTGTTTCCTCAGCAATTTTATCCCTATCAGATTATCTTGTCTGATTCTATTAATTCTCTCCCATAAATCTGCTAACAGTGATTTGTGATTTACTTACCCTGTTAACTGATCTGAAGACTGTTAAAAGGATTTATCTAGCACTGCACCTAAGAACAGTTTATGGCTTATCATTCTGTTACTCTGAGGAAGTCTTTCTGAAATCAATTTGGTTGGTTTCATAGTGAAATTCAGTGGACACTGTTTAGTTTTGCACCATAAAATAAGATACTAGATAAACAAAAGGAGCAGTGACTGTACTTAATAAGTTGTCCTTGGTATGTGTTTAAGTGTATAACAAATTATCCTTAAAGTCAATATGATTCATAACCAGCATGCTACCTTTTATATAAACCTCTTCTATACATAAAAAAATATACATACACTTTTTTACTTAGCTAGGAAAGCTATTAGTATGCCATTAAAGTTCCTGTACTAATGTAATTCAATTAATGTGTATTTTGATATTTAATGTTTCACAATCCACTTGTATGTCTTTGTTTAAAAAAAAATCTTACAGAAAATATACATTTGTTTGCACAAACTCATTAATCTGGTCAATAACTAGTAAAAATAGGGTTCTAAATTCTATTAGCAAAGTTTCATAAGAGCAATAGACATCATGAGACTATTAAAAGAACCATATAGTTCTTACTCTGCTTGAATTAGGACAGGAGTGTACCAGTACTAGGAAAAAGGAGCAGTCGAGAGAATTTGGCCTGCAATAATTGTGGAAAAGGGAAGGCTGAATAGCTCTAATTGAAATGAAAGTGTGTTATTGTTATGAAAGAAACACTGTTAATAGAAACACTGTAAATGTTTAGACACCCATTGTGAGTTGCCAAATAATAAAGAAAAATACTACAAAAATGAGAATTATATGGTGTTTGGAGTGGGGTATTGCTTTTGAAGATTATGAAAAAACTAATCTTTTTTTCAGGTGTGCTACACCATAGATGATTCGGTATAGCAGGCATATATAATAGTTAAACAAGGGCAATATTGTAAAATAATTGTATGTGATATTCTAGCAGGTCAGGGCTCTAGATTAATTTACAAACACTTACTTACATTGGTATGAATTCAGAAAAAGTGTCTATCAGCTCATACCATTTCATACTGTCTATAGTTTTTAGAGTTTACTCGGTAAATTTCCTAGTTTGCAAATGCAGCACATTAATCCTCATAGCCAAACTATTTCATATGTCTGACAATGTATTTCCTATCAAATGGGCCAATTAAACGCTACAGTTGTAAATTCTGAAAGGTAATTTCATTAAAAAATATTAACACACGTCTTGTCTTGTAGGTGAGAAGTGATATACTGTGTCACAATCATTTTGCTCAAGAAGAAAACCAAACACAGGGAACCGGATTATCCTTTGCAGATTTATACTAGGAGCTAGTGACTTTCGTTGAGTACAACAATATCAAAAACAGTAAAGCAAGCCTGAGCAGTTACGTTGTATTAACTTTGCCACGAATAACAATCAGTAAGGTATGCCGAACAGATGGCCACAGGAGTTATTGTGCTGGCAAAGTAGTTCCAGAAAATGTTTCTAGAATGGGTTATGTTATGCTATGCTATGCTATGCTAAACTTGTTCTAAGTGTCAGAGGCAATGCAAACGGTATAACTTTCTGATGTGAATACTGGAGCTGATAAATATAATGGCATAATCATGATGTTATCTACTGCAAACCTAGGACCCATGTGGAGATTCTTTGGCTTTTAAAAATGATGATTTCCACAAGTGTTGGAAAAAATATGGTGTAACATTCTGGGACTTGTTAAAAATAGAAAATTATGAGAGGGAGGAGAGGGGAGGCCAGGGAAAGAACACAGGTTCTGAAGTGCAGTGTTCAATAAGGTGGTTTAATATATGACCAAGTGTCAGAAGTCAGGTTTCTGATTCTTAGTTCTCAGATAAACAATTTTATAGCACTGTACTTAATCTTACTTACTTCAGACAGCCCATTTATCACAGAATTACAAGTAACGTTAATTCTATTGGTATTGCCAGTTGAAAATCAAGGCTGGAAATTTCAAGGATTTTTTTGGTCTTACTTCAGTATATCCGGTGCACAGACATCAGGAGGGTAGTCCCTTGTCTCTTCCTCCTTTATTAAACTTAGAAGCACAGTGAAAGCCAGCTGTTTAGATAGGCAGCCAAGTCATCCTTTCTCAGCAGCCTAGTTCACAGCCTGGTTGTCAGGCACGAGAATCCCATCGCTGTAAGAGTTAATACCGGAGTTAATGCACTTCATAAACTTTTCTGCACTTTGCAAGAGAGCTGGTTGAGCAACAAAACTGGACATGGATCATCATTAAACTGACCTTTGCCGAAAGGTGGCGCTGTCGAGGTTTAAACCAACCACGTCCACCGTGCTTTTCACTCTTCATGCCCATTTTGCTTTTTCAGATGGTACAATAAAAAACAAAAATAAATATAATTAGCTTTAAATGTTTTAAATTAATTAAACCGATCACCACTCTACCGGGCGCTGCATACGCTAGCTGCGTTTATACGGACATATTCCCTACCGTCTCCCATCCAAATCTCTGTTCCCAAACTTGCACCTCTCTCTCAAAATCGTAGCGTCCAGGGGGGTGGGTTTGATTTATTTGCACAAGGTCACAGAGCAACCAATTCAAGGCGAGGGGGTCGTTATTTGCATCTGAAGTGGGGCCAGGGGAGAGTGGGAGAAGGGAGCCGCTGGTTTGATGGCAGAGCAACTTCGCTTCACGTGTAACCCCTGCAGGGTGCATGGAAGGGCTGAATGTCAGGCTCAAGTACAAAAGTTATTCGCTTTAACGCGGCCGCGCCAGGGGCCCGGACCCCTGCTCCGCGGGGACTCACACTAGGCTTTGCGGGCGCAGGAGAGAGGGGGCAGAGGCCGCTTCGTGGCCAAAGTCTGCGGGAGGAATCTCTCGGCTTGGCTCCTCCACCCGGAGCCTTTCCCCGAGTTAACTCTTTCTGCTGCGGCGCCCAGGCGCTCCTGTGACTTTAGCAGCCCTGCGGGAACTGGGGCGGGGACCGCACGGTGCCATTGGCTTCCTCCATAAACAAGCCCTGAAAGTTTCTCTGCGGTGGACCCCCGTGACAGGCTCTTTAATCCGATAAGAAGGTGCCTGTCTTTTCAGACGAGCACATCCCTTAACTTTCCCCATGTCCAGACTCACTTCTCCCCACCCATCCTCGCCTTTTCATCTAAAGTCCCAGCGTTTCTCTCTAAACTGTGCCTCCTACCCGTTCGAGGTGGGAGCCGTTGTTTTAATTTATTTTGTTAAACGTGCACTACAGGAAACCACTTCCCTAACAAAGCTGTCGCGTACAAATGCTAAGGCACAGCATGCAGAGAAAAAAAAGAAAACCTGCTGGGGTTTTTAAGCGGGCTACGTTTATGCTTACCTATTCAAAACAACGCAGAGGAAGAAAGAGCTCTGCATTCCCAAATATCTTTTAACACAGCTGATAAAACATGAAACCCATGTGAATCCGAAGGGAAAGGATCTGGCCAAGCAAGAGTTAAAAGTTTAGCCCCAGCTGACAGTCAGCTGATTGGTCTCTGATTGACAGCTTCGAAAAGTTTCCTTGTTTCTATACTATTATGCTAATGAGGGCTGAGATTGAAGCAGCCCATTGGGTCCGGGCTTGGAGTCCATTTCCCATTTGAAAGCTGACGTCAGGACTGCTATAAAACTCAGCAATGCTTTTAAACTCTACTGCTGGATGAGACCTTTAAAATATTTTTCATCTTCTTGCTGTAGGGTTGGGGTTCAGTTTTTTTTCTTTTTTACAGATTCTTTTGGGTTACCGCACCGGCTTCATTTCTTTTTTTAAAATTTATCCTTCAGTCTCTTCCCCCCCCCCTCCTTTCCACCTCCTCCCCGATGAACCTCTTTTCGATGTGCACTTTGCAAGAAAAAGACCAGAGGAAAGACACCATGAAGTGTTAAAAAATAATCATAAAGGCACCTTTTGCAGCGACAAACAGTTGGTGCTGCAGTTTGCAAAAGCTGCACACACACAAAAAAAAAAGAGCGAGAGAAACAACCTTTTATGCAAAAGGCGAATAGAAAGAGCCACCCGCTCTGATGCATCATCAATACTATAGGCTCTGCAAAGGATAATAAAGACAGAGAGAGAGAGAAAACAGTCGGTGCAAATTGGAGCGAAGGTTGCACGGGGCCGGTGGCGAGAGAGAGAGCGCGCGAAGGAAAATATATATTGCAAATAATCAAGCTGGCTCACCCGGTTGCAACTCAGAGCAGCCCCCTCGCTCCTGGTGCGCACCCTTTCTGGAGGACTGTCAGCAGCAAAAGGATGGCATCAGAACTGGCAATGAGCAACTCCGACCTGCCCACCAGTCCCCTGGCCATGGAATATGTTAATGACTTCGATCTGATGAAGTTTGAAGTGAAAAAGGAGCCGGTGGAGACCGATCGCATTATCAGCCAGTGCGGCCGCTTGATCGCTGGGGGATCGCTCTCTTCCACCCCGATGAGCACGCCCTGCAGCTCGGTGCCCCCTTCCCCGAGCTTCTCGGCGCCCAGCCCGGGCTCTGGCACGGACCAGAAGACCCACTTGGAAGATTATTACTGGATGACCGGCTACCCGCAGCAGCTCAACCCAGAGGCGTTGGGATTCAGCCCTGAAGACGCGGTGGAAGCCTTGATCAACAGCAGCCACCACCAGCTCCAGAGCAGCTTCGATGGCTATGCTAGAGGGCAGCAGCTGGCCGCCGCGGCGGCCGGCTCGGGGGGCTCCATGCCCGGGGAAGAGATGGGCTCCGCCGCCGCCGTGGTGTCCGCAGTGATCGCGGCGGCCGCGGCTCAGAACGGGGCCCCCCACTACCACCACCACCACCACCCGGCTGGGCACCACCACCACCCGCCGCCGGGCAGCGTGCAGTCCAGCAGCAGTAGCAGCAGCAGCAGCAGCACCGGGGGAGGCGGCGGCGGAGGGGGTTTGCACCACCACCACCACAGCAGCAGCCTGCATTTCAGCCTGCATTTCGACGACCGCTTCTCGGATGAGCAGCTGGTGACCATGTCGGTGAGGGAGCTGAACAGGCAGCTCCGGGGGGTGAGCAAGGAAGAGGTGATCCGGCTGAAACAGAAGAGGAGGACCCTCAAAAACAGAGGCTATGCCCAGTCCTGTCGCTTCAAGAGGGTCCAGCAAAGGCATGTCCTGGAGTCCGAGAAGAACCAGCTGCTGCAGCAGGTAGAACACCTAAAGCAAGAGATCTCCAGGCTAGTCCGGGAAAGGGACGCCTACAAGGAAAAATATGAGAAGCTGGTCAGCAATGGCTTCAGAGAAAACGGATCCAGCAGCGACAACCCTTCCTCTCCAGAGTTTTTCATGTGAGTTCCCACAGCCTTGCCACCTTAAGTAAAGTTCTCCATGTGAGTTGTTGTTGGGGGCTTGCTAGAGCAACAACCAAGCTTACCCACCTGGTATTTTTTTTTAACTCAAAACAATTAAAAACAAAAAAACAACAAAAAAGTTGTTTTTTTAAAGGTGGGCTGGCTCATTGTTGGCCAACCTAAAGTTCTACATGAGTTTCTTTTCTATTTTTTTTTGTGGGGGCTTGCAATGTTTTTTTTAAACATTATAAGATCCAACTTGCCATCTACTCAGTTCTTCATATGAAGTTTGTTCTTCTTTGAAACCTGCCATCCACATTACATTTTTTTAAATTCATGAGGGTTTTTTTTTCTTTTGACCTTGCTGTGTCCAACAAAAGTCAAAGGTTTTATTTTTGCCATCCTGAATTCTTCATATGAGATTTGAGCTTTGCAAAAAAACAAAAACAAAAAACACAAAAAACAAACAAAAATACAAAAAAATGTGAATTTTTTAGACTCCAGCTTGCTGAGTTCCATCAGTTTTTAGCGTTGTTGTGCTAAACTAGAGATATACCTAGATCAACCTGCCAAAATGAAGCCTGCATCAACCTTCGGTGTGTTCATGTGAGTTTTGGCCTTAATCTGCCAAACGTGAGACTTTTAGTCTGCCATTAGATCCCATACTCATCTCATGCATTATGCTTGCTATTTTGTCTTAGCAACAATGGACTATGAAAAAGAGACATTATATTAATAAAACACCCTGCATGCTGGACATGTATGGTATAATTATTTTTTCTTTTGCTTGGAAATGGACTTTTGGAGACTATTATGGCATGGCATTCATCCTTTTGTTTTATTGCCTCATCACTTTTTTGAGTTGAAAGCAAAAAAGTGCAACCTTTGATCTTCCTCCTCCTCTTCCTCCCCATTAAAGTTTGCATCTGCTCTAAAACTGCTTTGAGTTACTCAAAACTTCAGACTTCCTTTTAAATGCACTGAAGCATTCCCTGTTTTAAAAAATGCCAGAATGGATTCTGATAAACTAATGTGGCAAAAAAAAAAAAAAAAAAAAAAGAACTTTGGAAAGATGTTTAAAAAAAAATCGCATCCCAAAGTGGGGACTTTAAAACCATGCTGTTGCCTAAAGCAGTCTAAAATTTATTTTTACGTGATCTGCCCCAAGTTTATTTCCTTTTTTTCTTTTGCATTTGGTCATTGTCAAATGTGGAATGCGCTGGGTTCCTAGTATATAATTTAATTCTAGTTTTTATCATCTGTAAGCCCAGTTAAAATGTATGCTACAGATAAAGGAATGTTATAGATAAATTTGAAAGCGTTAGGTCTGTTTAGATGTAGATTTAAAAACAAAAAGATTGATGCACTAAATTGTTTACTGTTGTGATGTAAAGGGGGGTAGAATTTGCAATGGGACTGTTTTTTAATAGTAGCTTATGCAGCATGTGCTTGCAACTTAAATATAAGTTGGGTATATGTAGTCCTTGCTATACCACTAACTGTATTTGAAAACCAAAGTATTAAAAGGGGGAGGCACCCCTGTTTATATCTTTAGGGGTATTTTACATTCAAAATGTATTTTTTTTTCAAAATTGAAGTATTTGGGACTGAATTGCACTAAGATATAACCTGCAAGCATATAAAAAGAAGACAAACCTGTTTAGAACGCTAATACAATTTATGCAGTTATAAAGATGGCATTACTGCACAGTTTTAAGATGATGCAGATTTTTTTACAGTTGTATTGTGGTGCAGAACTGGATTTTCTGTAACTTCAAAAATTCCACAGTTTTAAAGGCAATAACCAGTAAATTTTATTTTCAGGGACTGATATCCTGTCTTTTAAAAAAATGGAAAGTAAATCTTACCACAATAAATATAAAAAAATCTTGTCAGTTACGTTTTCTTTTACATATTTTGCTGTGCAAAATTGTTTTATATCTTGAGTTACTAACTAACCACGTGTGATGTTCTTATGTGCTTTTCTTTCATTTTCAACTATGGTTATATCAAAAGAGAGAATAATCTACAATAATAAACTGCATTTTTTTGATTCTGTACTCAGTTTTTTAGTGTGTAGTTTAAAAAGTTGAACAGCTATGAAAGCAATATCTAAGACACATACATTGCAAGGAAGTGATGCTGATACAAGAGTTGAACCCCACTGATATAAAGAAGAGAAGTTAACAGTCAGTTATATGTAAAGTGGAAAATTGTCACCCACTAGAAATTAGTTATCTGACAGGCAGGTGAAAAACGTGATCTTTCAGGTACGGTCTTGTTAGAATGTCTCAGTTTTGTTATGACTTAAGAGGGCCTTAGTTCCTATGAGTCATATCATGCCATCAGGTTCAAGCCATTGATCTCAAAGGGAAGTTCTGCTGAAAAACCTGATCACATGATATGGCCCTATATTTTGATTGTTTTATGATGGAGTAAAGTGAAAGGGAAGACTTCATATCCTCTTAATCTGATCCAAGCAGAACAGTTTGTATGTAGTAAGAGATGACACTGCATCAGGTTTTTCTTGTCACATATTCATTTAATGTTAAGAAAGAGTTTTTGACATTTGGCAGATACCCTATTCTAACCTCCTTCCCTACCTTTTCCACATTATGGTGTCTTGTCCACCATGGGCCTTAACAGGTTCACAGAGAATTTAGAAGGGAAAAATAAATAAAAGAAATTAAAGGACTTTCAAATTATTTGTCCTAAACAAACACTCAGAAAGGTTAACTTACTTAAAAAAAGTTAAGTTCCAGAGGTGTGCTCTTTACTATAGATCTGCATGCCAAAGGATATTTGCAGCTTTGAACATCTCCTAAAACAATTAACCCAGTTATTTTGCCGTTTTTTCTCTAGCAGTTCTCAGTATAAGTAGGGAGACATTTTCATAGTTTTTTCTACAGTATTTGAATAGGATTAACTTTGTAGTTCACTTGAAAAACTGAGGCCTCTCTGAAGAATGTTACAGCTTCACTAGAACTTAGCTTTATCTCAGGCTCCAGGGTCATAAAACCAGCACTATTTGTAAATTTCTTCTAGATTATACAATAACCAGCTGTATATGGAGAGTATGGAATTAAAACATCACAGCAAACTGCACCAAGAGTTCTGATTTGTGACGTGAACACAACTGTTTCTCAGAAACTGCACAGGATTCGGTCCTGCACTGGCAGGCAGAATTCTCACTGATTTCAGGTCAGAACTGCAGGGCCAGACCCTAAGTCATGCTGTGCTCAGAAAGGCAGAGTTTCCCTTAAAAAACAACAGGTTGTGTCAACTGTTCCATCGAGGGAGTTGTTCACGCATTGATTTCTGACTGAATCAGCTCCCATTAAAGTCAATGGCAAATAAATAAATCTCTGACTTCGGTGGTAGCAGAATGAGTCCCTTCAATGGGTGACTTTTATGGGGCTTTGGAACTGGTCCCTTGGTGTTAACCAATTCTGTTCTATATTCACCCCTCCTCCTGAACAAAAAGTCAATGGAGTGCCCTTTGGCATGTGACCTTCTGTTACACCACAATTTGAGTAATGGTTCAAGCTCCGTATTCTGGTTAATTGGAGCTTCATATTCTAGTTAATATGTAATCCAAGGGTAAACTGGCTGCTATTGGCTGATTAGAAAATTATCTGCTCTCATAAAGATAGCAACTATTTCTCCTGCCTGAAATGTTTAAACCTTCCTTAGTGCCCACATTTTCATGGCGCTCACTTAGGGACTCAATCACTCCAAGGAGTTCGCAACAAGTATTGATATTTTCAGTAAACTGATAAGCACCTTACATTTGAAATTACCTTCTAAACAAATACACTGCAGCTAGTTTCTCAAGCACAGATGCAGAGCTCCTCTTATGTGCAATCAATTTGTAGTACAATATTAACCCTGTTTGTACAAGAAATCTTATAGTTTAGTAAAGTGCGAAGGTGTAAGCAGTTACTAGGCAATAGTATTGTGAGTCCAAGAACAGATGATAGAGCACATGAAACATTGCTCTTTCTGGTTTTGTTTGGTTGGTATTAGTACACCCAGGATAGGTAACGTTTTTATGAACTAAGAAAAAAGCAGTACAAGAAATAGATTGACACAGGGAAAAATGCTCTGAACACACTAACAGAGAAAAGGCTGGTCTCTTCCCTAGCCCATGAGCATAGGCTTTACTTCTGACTTAAAATGACCATCTTTCTTAGGCTGTATTTGAATCTCTGTGTGAAACTCTAATATTGCAACTAAAGAAAAAAATCCAAGCAAGTTTTAAAAACCACTAAAGCAAACCATCAATTGGGGTTCTGAATGAACCATTTAAGAGGAGATTCCACCTTTCCAGCAGAACTGCTTGCTGAGAACTAATTGGAACAGATCTGCTCTGAATAACCTATATTCATTAATCACCCTTGCTTGGAGAATTTTCCTGTTCAGCCTCTCACTGAACTAAGTGGCAAAATTCCCATTGATTTGAATGGGGAGCAGGAGTCAGTACCCTTTACTCACTTCTCACTCATGTAAATCTCTGAAGTCAATGGAAGTACTGCCCGAGTAAGGAGATATGGCCCCGTATGTCAAAAGGGATACTTAGTTCTTACTCTCCACCTGGTTAATAGTGTCCCATTTCTCTCATAGTCCTCTCATTCTCATTATTAACTACCGTATATTGCAAAGAACATTCATGAAGATGTGTGCACCAAAGAGGCAACCCTTTGTTCAGTCTGAAATATGGTTCAGTGCCATACAACCTTTCCAACCCTTAAGTGTTTTTCTAAAACATAGAATAACCCTCCTTCCCAACATCAAGGGCTTGAGTATTTTCCCTGCCTCCCCACACTGGATCAGTATGAAATGGGAAAAAAATATTTCTAGGCACCGGATTGTATTTTTCTTTAATAACTTTCTGCAATTGCAACCATGCTGTTGGCTTATTTTTGTTTAGCAACAATACAAATATGTGGCTTTGCTTATTAGAAAGCATACTTCCCTTTTTTTTTAAATTTACCCAC